TAATGACATTGCTGCTGCTATAAATCGGGAATGCATAAATGTGTGCACATTAAGATGATACTGATGATGACGCAATGATCCTGTCACAATCGTCACCAAGAAAACAAATGCACGATTTAATTCAGCTCGGCGTCACTCAAGCCGCAGCGGGACAAAAGGAAGGCATGAAAACACACACACGCAGAGACAGACACACAGACACGTCTTCACGTGCAGCGGATAGCAATGATAGAACACAGTCTACGATGATCTGCTGTTTGACGTCTCCGCTATGATAGCAGCAGCCTTGACTGACGCCACTCTGCCATACGAAGTTCGGCACGAGGTTGGAGTGACCGAATTCCATCCGTACACCCAGACCCCCCCCCCCCCGCTCTCCGTCTCACGCACGGCTTTTTTTTCGGGTGATGGTGGTGGTAATGTGGAGGAGGTTGGTGGTGGCTTTGTCATTGTTAGTGGTGGTAGTGATTGTGCTGATGGTGGTGGTAGTGGTGATGGTGGTGGCTTTGTCGTTGGTGGTATGTGGGAAGCGATAGTGGGAAAGAGTGAGAACGTGTGGGTGTGTGCGTGCACATTTCTGCGCACAAGCTTGTATGGGGAGCGGTCGTGTAGTGGTTAGCGGGCCACGCTATGAACCCAGCGACCCCAGTTCGTTTCCCGCTCACGGAAACCAACACCAGTGACGATTTTCAGAAGCGGTCTTGGGCCTCCCCCTAGGTCGACTCAGCCTCAAATGAGTACCTGGTGCGGCGTGCAAACATCGCCACTAGGGAGACAAAGGCGGACGCACGTGGGGCTGGTCACCGACCCCCTCGTGCGCCGTGCCGGCCTTCATCGGTGTTACTCGCCAACAGCACTTGCCCCCACAAGTCTGTTAAATTCTGAAAAGGGGTGATCTTTGACCTTTTTATGTTGTTTTATGTATATATATGCGGTTGTGTGTGTGTGTTGTGTGTAGGTGTGCGTGCGTGCTTGCGTTTAGCGTGTCTCTCTGCATGGTTTATGGCTTTGGGCCATAACCTTGACCAGCCCGCAGTAAACCGGATGTTTAACAACGTCATATTCACATGCAGCGTCGCACGTTAGTGCGCATGACACACAAACTCCCATGAGTCCGTGTCATAGCCCACATTACAAATATTATAGACAGTGTAAGGATCCAGTGCTGTGCTATACACCGGTCTCTTGTAAATGAGCAAATAAAAGAATCTCAATGGGTTTCTCACGATGGTTAACTAATGGACATTCGTCACGACTAGATAATGCATCTCCCTGGGCTCTCACCTGGCTAAATAAAGGACGCTGATCACAACAGTTAAGGTATCTCAATGACCTGTCACCTGGTTAAATAAAGGATGTCAAGAACAAGAGGTTGTGAATCTCAATGACCTGTCACCTGATTAAATAAAGGGTGGCAATCACGATACATAACACAACTCAACGGAGCTGTCACTTGGCTAAATAAAGGACGTTGATCACAAGGGGTGATGAATCTCAACGGGATCTTAAATCATTAAGTAAACGGTGTCAATCGCAAGGCATCATGAATTTTAACAGAATTTCAATCTGACTAAATAAAAGATGAAAATGATGAAGAGATAGTGAATCTCAGCGGGCTCTTGAATCATAAAATAAAAGTTGTTCATTAAAACCGCTACTTTGTACACAAACCACTTTTTTATCCAGAAAAAATTCTGTGCTTTGAAAACATTTTGTTTCGTTTTTACACAAAGTCCCGTGCGATAAAAAAAAAACTGTTTTCATTGGAAATAGTTTTCTTTTTTCTTACCGAGGGGGAAAAAAACTCCCGCTTAAAGGTTTCGAATATATTTAAATTATACAGTCAATCTCGACAACAAAGTCTTGCATTCAGAACGCGCGTGCTTTTACAATAACCACAAAAAATGCAACTGCGTACAAAAAAAATTTGGGAAATTTTCACCGGGAGTACATTCCTCGCTCACAGCCGTTGCGCGCTCGGCATGGCTTCTCTACGTCCTCGTCGAACCTTTGACCTTTGACGCAGTTTGATAAAAAAAAACATTTGCGGTGTTTTTTTTGACCACTTTTATTTCATACTCTTTGGTTCTTTCGGTAAAGTCACGTAGGTATAAAAATAACAAATAAAATATATCAGGTCCTCAGGCCGCTTGCGATCGAAACGTCGTGATATATAATTTTTTATTTTATTTTTCTACCTACGTGACTTTACCGAAAGAACCAAACAGTGTGGATTCCTGAAGTCACGAAAGCTTCAAATCAAGATTGACACTTTTATTTCAATAAGCCCGAAGTGTCGCGCGACGAGACGACGTGCCCTTTTAAACCAACGGCGCAGCAGCGCCTCGGCCCGTGTTTTAGAATTGGCCCGGGGAGAAAGTAGATTTCACAGAACTACGTCTGAGATCCCTTCCAGTGACTTTTCCAGTGCTGTTAGCGAGCGCCTATGAAGGCCGGCACGACACACGAGGGGGTGGGTGGCCAGCATCACGCCCGACCATCTTTGTCTCCCCAGTGGCGATGTTTACACAGGTACTCACTTGAGGCTGAGTCAACATAGGGGAGGCCCGGGACCCAATCATATATTTGAAATCACCACCGACGTTAGCAGCGGCCGGCGTTCGTAACGCAAGTGCGCAAACCACTGCACCATCACTCCCCACGCTAACACACACACAGGCATACAAACACATACATACCCACGCAGAGTAACACAGTGCACAGATACACACACCCGTGATTAAACGTGTGATAGTCACTGGTGTTAGCGGAAATCGAACTCAGGCCGCCGGGTTCGTATCGCAACGCGCTAACCGCTATACCACCGCTCCCCACTATGCAGTATATATACAGCACACACGTAGGAGTGCTGAAGTTTCCCACGTAAACCCTGCAGTGACACCGATGTCATTAATTCGGCGCTGGAACACTGTACAACTCAAATATTGTTGTGATGTTTCGCGTGGCAATTGTTGGTCATGCTGACACCATCGAGTCGCTTCGCTTGAGAAGTGTTTCACTCGTGGGTGGAGTCTAAACGAGGGTCTCAGAGATACAGACTGCACTTTGACCCATAAAACACTTGGTCACCTCTGAGCCACTATCTTATCAACGTGTTTCATTGCTTCACAGACAAAGGACTACTCACATAGCCCGACAATCACCCATACAAACCTCGCTGAGTCTCAAGGCTACTTTTCAGGAGGGTTCTGCTGAGGACGTTTGACCAACTCCTCTACTCAATCTGAATATTGTTATTGTTTATAAAACATATATTTATCTTGGTAGTGTGACAGTGTATCCGTGTGGCAGGGCAGCGGCATTCCAGGATTAATGCCAAGGATTGAAAGAACAGAAACAAAACCTTCCAATATATGGAGATAACCTGCCAGCAACCTACATGCTGTGCTGCCCGTGTAAGATTACAACTTAGTTCAATGGATTCATAGCTCGGTGCACTAGCAGCCTACCCAGAGCTGGAATGTAGCTCAGTTAAATTCCTTTTATTGAGATGGTAATTGGGTTCCCCGGAATGCTTTGCTAGGTGGTTTGAGCCTTATTCTCACAATAACAAACCCTTCCCACAATGCAATGTACCAGCAACATGTGATACGTTTGACTTTCAATGTGAATGCGTTTGTGTAGCGGTAATATTTTGCAATTACTGAAGGGGATGTCTCGTTTTCCAACATCGACTATTCGGTAACCATACATATGCAAATGCAAATGTGAACAAAAAAAACTGGGCATCAGAAAGGATGTTTAATTTGTAATTCTCATCAGGTCCCATGATGTAAAAGTTCTAAACTCCAACTTATTATCCCCGCTACCTGCTACTGGCCTCTATATCAATGGGCTGAGAAGGGGGGTCGGTGCATGACACGGCGCCGATGAAATCGTTTTTTTTTTTTAAGCTCACATCGTTGTTGGCGAATGTGTTGCGTTTTTTGTGAACTCAATTAAAATATGTTAATTACTACAGCTTGTAAGTTGATGGATGAGGTGATGAGCTCTGGGCCACCACCTTTAACACGTCGGCTTTCGCGACCAATATCATCCATAATATAGGGGTGGGTTTTTATAGATCTCGAAAATATAAATGCGTCGTAAAACTCAGTCGTAAATAAATGTGTGGTTTTGCTCTCCAACACACCGGTGTGCTGTACTCGTAACGAATTGGCATGTTCTGTTTACGTGACAAACCTTACCAATTGGCTGTGTCGGGTGGTGGCGGGTTTAACGACGACACATTTATATTTACTCGATCTAATTTTAAAATAAAACCACAATATTATGGACCACCACCCTTGTTACCACCTTTGACCTAAGTGTATAAAAAAATAAAGACGCGTGACCAAGAATTCGTCATCACGCGAAACCAACATTGTCCGGAGCGCCGCCTAGCGGACAGAACGAGGTACGTTACAGCCGGTGTGGAAAAATAGAAACGGACCTGGGCGTTGAAGGATAAAGCCTAGAGATGATTCAAGCCACTCGTGCTACGGGCAATTGTACGAACGATTAGAGTGTATCATGATCATTAATCTCTGCACATTGTTGACCCAGCAAAAGCCTCAATGAGTCTTTATAGGACTCTTTTCTGGGAGAGGTGGCGCTAAGTTTTTGTAGGAGGCGGCGACGCATTGCTCGGCGTTTCCCAATCAAGTAATTTATGCACGAATAATTTGTTGTTGTTGCTGTAAAGTTTGGACAATGACGCCGACACACGATGGCTTACTGTTCCTAGAATAACGTCACGGGAACGTTAACGTGTACTGTGCAGCAGACGGCGCCTATCTTTTGTGGCGAGTACAAGCCGTCGTGTTGACCAGGGCGGCCTGTCTGATGCGAACCGCGAACATCTGCAACGAGTGGCGAGCGCGCGTGCTTTTGCCACTGGGCCACGACACCAAACAAACGCATGACTTTAAAATATACATTACTAGCAACAAGCTCAGTCAATCCGTCAACATCGTGACATCACCACAATCATCACTCACCTATTCCGACCGTTATCCTTGCCGTTAGACACCAGGTAATGCTGCTGCTGCTGTTGCTGCTGCTGCGATGACAGTTGCAACTGCTGCACGTGCTGCTGCTGTTGCTGCTGATGATGTTGATTCGATTGATGATGCTGGTAATGTTGCTGATAGTGTTGTTGTTGTTGCTGCTGCTGTTGCTGCTGCTGTTGTTGCTGCTGCTGCTGCTGGTGATAGTTGTACTGATGGTTGTTGTTGTTATTGTTATAATTCCACGCCTTTGCAGACACTGGTGTCATGGCGAAGATGATGAAGACAACGACGTGAACCATGGAAGAGGAGGAGGGAACAGGACAGCTTCTGAAGTCTCGGCGAACACGAGGCATCTTGATGCGGTTCCGCCACACAATTTGACAGACACGTGCTCTCTCTCACACACAGGTGTATGGACACGCGCACGCACGCACAGGTGTATGGACACGCGCACGCGCGAGTGTTTCGCTGCGTTAAGGTTTAGGCGCGTGGTCTGGTGTCGAAGACTTTTCTTGTTTTTTCCTTGGGAGATGCGTGTTGGCGAATTCGCGAATGTCAGAGGCAGGGCTCGCAGATGTTCCGTGAGCCACGAGCGATGGGCGGGTGACGGCTGCGTGATGGGGTCAGTGGAGGGTTGATGAGTCGGCGATGGGTGAGTGAGTGATGGGTGGATAAGTAGGTGATGGAGAGGTGAGTTATGGGTGGATGAGTCGGTGAAGGATGAGTGAAGGGTGGATAAGCGGGTGATAGGTCAATGATGGGGTGGACAGGTGAGTAATGGAGATGGTGAGCGATGGATTAATGGGTGAGCGACGGGTGGATAATCGTGGTTGGTCAGTGATGGCGAGCCGTGGGTGTGCGTGCGTTGTGTAATGAGTTCTGGGTGGGGAGTGAGCGATCGAGGAGGCGAGTGATGAGTGACTGGTGGACGAGTGGGCGATGTATGTGCGGCTAGCTGGATGGTTGAGTCATCAATGGTATCGATGAATGACTTCACGCTGATTAATCGCTTGTGCGTATCTTTTCACTCGCCGATGTGGAGTTCGCTACGTCGCGGACCCAGCCGTTAAAATCGACGCATTCCCCTCTCCACACAGCATCGCCAATAATAACAATAATGACGATCGCGTCGCAGTTGGCGAGCTCCTATTAAGGCCCGGTGGAGCAAATCAACCTCGAACTTTACGAAATAACCAAAAAAACACAGATGGAAAACACCACGTGTCTTATCCCCACGTGCACGCCGATTATCCGTGCATCAACACGCGCCTCCAAGTTCTGCACACGGCACCGTTCAAAACAAAAATGCGTCTCGCGTTCTGCTGGGAGTCTTCGCTGGGTCGCCACTCGGTTCCTCACGCCCTCCTTCCTCTCCCTGCCCCTGATCTCTCTCTCTCTGTCTCTCGTTGTATATCTTCACCTGTTCGTCACTCCTCTTAATTGCGTATCTTCCTTAATGTTGCGAACGAGATGTGTGCGGGTTTTCTCTTCCTCGCTGTCAGAACTTCTTTCGCGCTGCCCGCGTGTCGTCTCCCCCCCCCCCCCCTTTGATCGTCTCTCTACCTCGTCGCAATCCTCCCTTTCTTTCTCCCTCCACGAAGTCCTCTTCCCAGGAGCTCTTCTTGTCTCGCGCTTCTCTCTCTCTCTAAGTCTTCACTTGCCAAGTTTCGTTCCTTTTAATTCTCCCCTCTCGCGATGTGACTTCTCATTCCTAGAGTTAGTGCGTTTCTACCTCCTCGTGTTGCTGTTATTTTATTATTTTTATTCTTCTTCTCAGTTTCACTTCTCGTTAAATCCCCCCCCCCTCCTCCTCCTTCTTCCTCCTCCTCTTCCCTCGTGTATTTGTATCCCTCCGGTAACTCCGCTTCGTCTCGCTCCTAGAACTCCCGATCCTTAATCTCGTCCTTGCATTAAACGCCACTTCCCCTTCCTCTGATTCTGTTTGTCGCGATAACCAATGGATGACGAATTGTATTCTTGGTTTTCTCGATCCGAACTTATTCTCTTTAATGCTCCGCTTGATATCGTCCGAATCCCGCTCCGTCTCCTCTTCTCGTCCTTTGCTGTCCCCCTTCTCTGCCCACCTCTTCTAAGCCCCCATCGCCGTCCCTCCCCCTCTTCCCATGCCGCTCGCTGCCTGTCGGAGACGCGTGACGGAGGAGAAGAGCCACACATCACAAACACAAACGCCAAACATCCCCCCCCCGGATCGCCTTTAGCCGCACACTGTTGGGGCGAGTGCTGCTATCGAGACATCTCTGAAGGTCGGCGCCGTACACCACGTGGCCAACACAAAGCTCGGCCGCCGTTGTCTCCCCAGTGCTGATGTTTACCCACCGCACCGAGTACTCATTTAAGGCTGAGTCGACCTCGTAGATTGGTTAATAAAATCACCGCTGTTTTGGGCCGCTGTACCAGACATGATAGACTCTCACGCACAAACTCAACAACAACAATCGCCACTACGTAGCGGTGGCGTCACCAATGAGCTTGTGCCAGGCTAGGGTCACTTTGAGGGCACGTGAAGTGTCAGAGGCTGGAGGTCACGGGACAGACCCAGGCGCCACGGGTTTGACTGAGATGAAACGCAGCAGGGAGCACAGGTGGTAGGTGCATGCATCTGCCAGTCATCTCAGTCAACGCACAAACTCTCCGCATACCCTCACAACAATACGTGGTGACACAGGGAGACAAAGGGAGACAAAGGGAGACAAAGGCGGTCGCGCACGTGTGGCTCTGAAAGCCCCAACCGCCTTAATAGGGGCTCGCTAACAGCACTGGCCCCTGCAGCCTGTCAGGCGAAACAGGTGGATGTTTGATTGCGTGTGCGTATCTGTGCATCAGAGGTATCACTGACAGAGACAAAGATCCTCCGTATAGCCTTAACAGACTGTTGGGGCAAGTGCTGTTAGCGAGCACCTGTTAAGATAAGCACAGCACACGATGAGTAGTGGGTAGCCAGCACTACGCCCGGACGCCTTTGTCTCGCTCGTGGCGAAGTTTACACATCGCAGCAGGTACTCATTTACGGCTGAGTCGACCTGGAAGAGGCTCAGTAACCGGTTCGGATATTCGTCGCCGATGCTGGCCATGAATGGAACTCGGGACGCTCGATTCGCAGCGCAGCACGCTAACCACTGCGCCACCGCTCCCCACACAAACTCATGCGTAAAAAAAAGCACAAACTCCTCACTGCACGCTCACATTGTCACTCTTGCACATTCTCAGACACACCCTCACACTCTCACTCACCCTCCCACTCTCACTCACCCTCACACTCACACTCTCAGACACACCCCCACACTCTCACCCACCTTCACACTCTCACTCACACTCTCAGACACACCCCCACACTCACTCACACAAACCCTCACACTCTCACCCACCCTCACACTCACACTCTCAGACACACCCCCACAGTCAGCCTCACACTCTCACTCACCCTCACACTCACCCTCACACTCTCACTCACCCTCACACTCGTCACCCACCCTCACACTCGTCACCCACCCTCACACACCCTGTCACACACTCCTTCGCTGTCATACACTCTCACATACTCTCATTCTTACACTCACTCTCACGCACGACTGTCACAACCTCTGTCCCACTCTACTCACACACCCTCACTCACTGTCACACTTTCATATACTCTCTCTCTCACACCCCCACTCACTCACTCACCCTGACACTCTCACTCACTGTCACACTCTCACACTCTCACTCACTCTCACGCACTCTCACACACCCCCACTCACCCTGACACCCTCACTCACAGTCACACTCTCACACACTCTCACACTCACACACTCACCCTGACACTCACAGTCACACTCTCACACACTCACTCACTCTCACACACCCCCATTCACCCTGACACCCTCACTCACTGTCACACTCTCACGCACTCTCACATACTCTCACGCACTGTCACACTCTCATACTCTCTCACACACTCTTACACATCCTCACTCATCCTGACACCCTCACTGTCACACTCTCACACCCTCTCACGCACTCTCACACACTCTCAAACACTCTCACGCACTGTCACACTCTCATACTCTCTCACGCACTCTCACACACTCTCACTCACTGTCACACTCCCACTCACTGTCACACTCTCACGCACTCTCACACACTCTCACTCACCGGGAGGTCTCTCTGCTCTCCACTCGTCCCAAGGCGCTGCTTGGTGCGTGACGGTTCGCGCCGTGAAGCGACCTGATGATGAGTGCGGCTCCTGCTGCGTGATCAGAGGCAGCGACTCTACAGGGAGAGGGAGAGAGAGGTGGGGGGACAGGGGGCGGGGTTGGAGGGGGGCAGATGAAGGGTGAGCGAGGGGGAGTGGGGTGAGAGGTAGGGAGGGAGGAAGGAGGGAGGGGAGAGGGAGGGAGGGGAGAGGGAGGAGAGATGAAGGTAATAGAGAGGGGGGGTGAGTGGGAGTGGGAGGGATCGAGGGGCGAGGTGAAAGAGAGAGTAGGAGGGAGAGAGGGCAGAGGGAGAAGAGATCATTCTGTCTCTTGTATAGCATTTTAAGGAAACTAGGAGGAAAAAAAACATAACCGTTGTGTGTTGACATTGGTAATCCATGCAATGGCATCACGAGTTGCTTGGTGCATCATGCCCCCCCCTCCCCCCCTGGCCTCCAGTGTACGCGTGTCATGGGCAGTGGTCGGTTACGTGGTGAACAGATTTCCCCTTCACCACACTCACAAATGGGGCGACTTTCATCTTGAGAGACGCGAAGGGAATGGAGAGAGAGGGAGTGAGAGGGTTTGAGGGGGTAGGGAGGAGAAAGGGAGGGAAAGGGGGGGGGGGCAAGAGAGGTAATAGGGATAGGAGGTGAGAGAGGGGGGGTAGAGAGAGGGGGTAGAGAGACAGGGGGTAAGGAGAGCAGAGCGTGAAATCTTTTGTGAAATATTTCATTTAAAAAGGGGGTGGGGGGGGTACATAAAGCAAAGCATAAAAAAACTAAATGATGAACGAAGCAAAGTGCCGACTACACCGAGCATCTTCTTGTTTCCACTGATCGTAAAAAAAGAGAGAAAGGCTGAACAGAGAGGGAGTGAGTGCACGGGGTGAGCAGAGTGACAGGTTAGGGAGGAGTGACAGGGGGTAGGGAGAGACAGAGTGTGAGAGGTGGTGGAAGAGAGACGGGGAGTGGATGGAGGTGATGGTGAGCGAGAGAGGTGGAAGAGGAACCCACGTGGATTCAATGAAACGAAAATTAATCAAATAAATCCGCAATCGCAGCTGCAGAAGCGGCGGCACTGTACGTGCGTTGCGTAACGACCCATCGACCCCTTCCCAGCGTTGCGCGTCGGTCAGCCATGGGCTGGTTGTGCTAGCAAAGTACTTTCAGCAAGCAGCTGTTATGGAATTAAGTTGCAAATTTTTTTGTCGTTGTTGTAACGAGGCGGTGAGAAATCACGCGGGCAGGGTGTGAGTCTCATTGTGCAAGAGTGACCTGGGCAGAGCCGTCCCGAAACTACGGCGAATCGGGGAGACCGCCCCGGGCCCCGTGCTTTGGGGGGAGGTGGTAGGGGGGGGGGCGACGCGCTTCGACATCAGACGTAATACTTGTAATACCGGTTTAGTTTGAAGGCGTCAGAGTGGCCCACACAATGGGATTTGCTCCGGTCCCCCCACGCCCCTCTAATGGACGTCCCTGGGACCTGAGGCCATTGGTCTGCCAGTAGGGGGGCGATTGATCACTGCTGCTTCGTGATCCTAATTGAGTCATCTTGCGGTGTAAAGTGTGGGCAATCCCCCACCCACCTCCCCAGCGTGGAAGAGTAGGCCCTCAAGGTACCCTCGAGAGAGAGGCCCTCTTCGAGGCTCTCGAACGCGGTGACACTTTCCGCCCAGCAGCGGTGGCCCGTGCAAGCAGGCGCAGGGCCGCGCCTTCATCCTTCTTCATGGTTTCGACGTTTCTAATGTTCAGCCCAGGTGAGAAGCTCGGGAGACCAGGGATGAATCTCAATTTGCGTGGAGTGACCAGGAGCATCAGTCTGCCGGCAGGGAGCGATTGCCGCTGCGCGTGGCTTTGCTACGATCTCCCGCATCTCCGAATTGGCACGGTCGGCTACGTACGGTGCGAAAGAAGTGCAACGTACGCACGGTGTACGGTTGTTACACGCGCAGTAATGATGAGGGCGGCCGCTGGATTCGAGCCGTGCACCTCTGGTGCGAGCGCAAGGCTGTGGCAACGGCTGGGTAAGGGGCGGTGTGACGAGAATCACGCCCGGTCGCCTTTGTCTCCCCCAGTGCTGAGGTTTACACACGGCGCCAGGTTACTAATTTAAGGCTGAGTCTACCTAGGGGGAGATCCGAGACCGGTTCAAATATTCGCCACTGTTATTGGTCGCGAGCGGGATTTTTAAGTCGGGTCGCCGGGTTCGTAACCACAGCGCCACCGCTCCCCACTGGAGTTCTCACAAAGACCCCCCGTGTAGCCTTAACAGACTGCTGGGGCAAGTGCAGTTAGTGAGTAGCACCTCTGAAGGCCGGCACAGGCACACGAGGGGGTGGGTGGCCAATACCACGCTCGGCCGCCTTTGTCTCCCCAGTGGCGATGTTTATAAACCACAGCAAGCTCTCACAGACACACACACACACGTGTGTGGGCACACGTGTGTGTGTGTGTGCCCACAGTTTTTGCATCTCCGAGCATATTTTGCAACTGCGAGGTTCACAACAAGTGCTGCTGCCGATTGTTTGAACATAATGAGGCGTTTGTTAACCTGCAATCATGAACTCACTTTCTTTCCCCTGACTTCCCGCGGGACTTTGGCGGTGTACAAAAAAACACGTTTACAACTTTCGGCTATTCATGTAAATATTGAGAACGATATCAAGGCTACAGTGACTTTGTTTTCAAGGTGGGTACTGCGGGTGGGTCATACGCAAACTTAAGAGGGGGGGGGGTGACGAGGTGGGGGCACTGAAGTTCTTATAGTATAACTAAAATTATCTTATAAAAACATTTTTTTATTTGACCAGGTAAGGCTGGAGAGCTCTATTTCAGAAGTGACCTGGCTATCACAAACGATAGCTCAACGAAGTGGCTTTATTATCATGTGCAAATTTACTCAGCCATACTTACCTAACCTAAAAAGGTAAAACACTTGACGATGGTACTGGTGCTGCTGCTGCTTTGCCAGTGGTGCACAATGCCACAACAACAACAACACGTTTCGTGTCAATAACAACAATCTGCGGCATTTAAAGAAAAACATGACAGGCGACCTTTCGGGCAATCGTTCGCTCTTCATAGTACACGCTCAAACAAACTTTAAACAAATGTTAATAACCGCCAGGACAGCATGAGTTGACGGTGCGACCCACTTTGGTCTGCCGTGCATTCCACTCTGGCTCTCGGCCGCTGTATGATTGATCTCAGTGATGACTGCTAAACGAACTTGAAACTATTAAACTAAAACTATTTTATATAAATACATAATAAATACATGAATAAAAAAGGAAACTGTTTCTTTTTATTTCACCAGGTAAGTCCCACTGAGCTACATAGATATTTTTCAGAAGCGACCTCGCCATAAATGCTTGTTTTAGAGTTTTTTTGGAGGGAAAAACCAGAAGACCCGGAGAAAATTCACGCGACCACGGGGAGATGGTGCAAACTACAAATACACGGGCATCGTCAGGGTCGGGATCGAATCCACGACCTCCTGAATACCAGGCGAGGTAGTTAACATCTCGCCACCGTGATGATGATGAGAGAGACACCGCACACTCCAAAAAAACAACAGGTGTCAGGGTCGGGATTGAACCTACGACCTCCCGCATACCAGGCGAGGTAGTTAACATCTCGCCACCGTGGCGCCCCTTAGAAGAGGGGGGGGGGGCTCAGATTTTACCTCCCACCCCGGATGCTACAGAGCTGAACGAGATGGAGCGGCGGTGGCGCAGTCTGTAGCGCTGTGAAACCCAGCGACAGCCTAAGTTCAATTCCCGGTCACGGCTAACATCGGTGGCGAGTGATCTGTGATCCAGCACTGGGGTTGCCCCTCGCACCAACCGTCGCTGACAGCCCTCCGTCTCGTTGCCGTATCTTAAAAAAAACCGATAACTGGGTTTTAACCCCATTTTTTGCATGCAGTTATTGATAACCCGCCTAAAAAAATCGGTTTAACCGCGGGAATTCACACATCATACGTAAACGCTCACATGGATTCACACACAGACAAATATATCCCGTATATCATGAGGCCTCCTTTGCCAATACCAAAATATAATAATAGTTTTTCCCCTTTTTTCCCGGCAGTTTTGTTGCTAGAAAAAGGGGACAAAGCCTATTATTATCTCCCATGTAGCCTACACAGACTGTTGGGCCAAGTGTTATTAGTGAGCACCTTATAACGGCCGGCACGGCACAAGAGTTGGTCGTGTAGCAAACACCACGCCCGGCCGCCTTTGTCACCCCTGTGCCTACATTTACACACAACGACGAGTACTCGTTTAAGGCTGAGTCGACCTAGGGGAGGCCCAGGACTGGTTCAGATATTCGCCACTGATATTGTGAGTGAGCGGAAATCAAACTCAGGCGGCCAGGTTCTTAGCTCTGTAACGCTGACCACTACGCCACCGCTCCACCACACACACGCACGTATATATACGTTAACAGACACACGCGTCTGTGCATAAGTTAGAACTCCCTCCCTTCCCTCGCTCTGCACTGCTTAGGAATGTGCCTTAAACGAGAATCGTACACCAATTTTCCCCAAGTCTGGCCCAAGGTCACACACAGAGGACTGGGGGCAGGGGCGGGGGGGGGGCGGGCTTGGGTTGGGCTACAGATGGGTTCACTGCACACTCCTGCACTGCACCTTGCCCCGGAGCAAAGGTCAGAAATGTTTAAAAAGGAAGGGGAAAACACACGCGCGCGCACGGGCACACATTTATGTTTGACTGCAAGCTATCCCCTAGAATGACCGACATAAATGCCGGTGTGTCAGCCCCATCCATCATGCGAGTCAGCGCTGGGCCCTATCTTTAACCTGGCGAGGGCCCTTGTCAGAGATCCAGTGAAAGTGTGACGCCTGTTAGCTGTCATCCTGGCTTGACGCCTCCTACCACGATACTGGCCTCGTCTCTTTCAGAACTCATGGGCGAGGAACGGCCCTCTCCGAACAACTGCAGGTAGGTGAGGCTTGTAGGCAAATAGAGCTGCATCCTTTGAGGTAGGCAGCAAGGTAAGCTTGTAGGTTCTCAGGTAGGCAGGTAGGTGGGTTTGTGGAATTACACATAGGGAGGCAGGCTTGTAGGCTTTGAGGCAG